ACTGTTTGTTTTATGCTTGAAGTTGAAAGGAAGACTAGGCCCCCCACAGTCTCCACCTTTCAACAGTTCCTTGGGATAGCCTGCTAAAGAGTCCAGGGCTTGGTCACCCAACCCACTTTCCTCCTGGTGCTGGCACTAGGGACCAGGTGCTCCAGCCACAGCTGGAGGTCTTAGTTTCCTGTTGGGAAAGTTTTCCCAGTGAGGTGAGCATTAATGGGCCAGGGGTGGTGGATGATGGGGGTGGAAGCACCCCTGAAGTCCACCTTCCCTGTTTGGTCTGGGGGAGGAGACTGGAGACTAGTCTTTCTTTACTCAGCATGATTGAACTGGGAGAGGGGAGGGACTTGATTTTAGGCAACAGGGTACTTATCAAAAGTTTCCTTTCAAGCTCAGTTTTGAGTTAAGGTCCAATGCTATGTGTCAGTCACAAACCAACGAAATAGATGCCCCCCAGTTCTCAAGCAGGTAAAAGTGAGATATTTTGGTGGCCAGACTGGAGGCCACTGGCAGAGATGGTTAGCTTGGAGTTTGGCAACCCAGCTATGGTTGGCCCAAGAGCGAAATGTGTGTGTCCTCCGCAGCCTCCCTTCTTGAGCTAGTTTTATTTCCTGCCAGGCTCTGTGGAGTGGCTAGGGAATCGCGAGGCCAGAATCCCGCGGTATTTCCCCTGACAGGTGCAGGTCTCTGCGGCCTGCGTACCCCTAGGTGCCTGCCGCCGTGACCTGACACCCCGTTTCCGAAACCCAGGTCGGGAAAGCGAGGTAGAGCTTTTCAGGAGGTGGGATAGGTGGGAGGGGATCAGACACCCAGGACAAACAGCCTACGATACGCAGGATGGCATTTTTTTTTTTCAAATTGTCCATTGACAGGCTGAAGAAGTTTGTTTTACTACTGAATACGTCGGGAACAAAATCCTTTTGAAAGGAAAGCTAAGTCGTTTCACGCCACTAAAGTGCAGATTTGGCGAAGAATGACGGGTGGGACAAAGAAGCGTGGGGCGTTAGCGCGGGTTTCCCAGAGCGAGCGCAGCAGCCGTTTGGTCGACTAGCAAGCGTGGGGCGCACCAGAACAGACTCTCGAGGCCCTAAAACCTCCTCATCCACCCAGCGCCAGTCCTCAGTCCTCACCGATAGCCCACCATCAGTGCAGGTCACTGATGGTCTAATAACTCAACAAGAGGACAGGAAAAGGCGAAGTGGAGTGAAGAACAGGGGTGGCACAAGAGGGGAAGGAGGTGAAGGCTGGAGACAACCAGTCCGCAGAAGCTTTGGGAGGGGATCGCGAGGACCGCGGGGGCCAAGCCTGACCCAGCCGCCGCGCCATAGGCTGCTCAGGGTTCACTTTCCGAGTGGGGGAGGAGGGTATTGTTTTTGGTGCCTGGGAAATCTTCCCAAGCTGCGGGGTACTTTCCCTCCACCTCCCAACGGGATTTGGTAAATATTAACAAACCGAGACACGGTTATTTTCTGGAGTGAGAATGGGGGGGGGGGGGCAAA